ATCACCTTACTTCACTGCCTCACTAATTCATCCTCTTCCAACTGTCCAAGAGTATTCCCTGCACAATTAGGACAAAAGCCCCTGCCTAACAGAGGAAGGTGCGCTAACAAGTGAATGTGCCAGGAACCAAGTGAAGAAATGGGAAAGAAATAATAACACTAGAGATTTACATTGAGTGTGCTATAGGTTAGGAAATGGAACAAGGAAGACAGGTGCTCATTGATAAAAGTCTTTGTACTTTATTTGGTTGAAAATGTTCCCTGGACATCATATTAAATAATAGGGGGTTTGACGGGAAAAAACAGTAGTTGAGTATGGACAGTCATTAAACATATGATCCAAGAATCATGTGTGGCCCTTAACCAATTTCAAAATGAATGTTTCTCTCCAGGTATGCATATATATCTTTTACTCATTAAAGCAAGAATGTATATAAAGATTTACTTTTTTAATATGACACACATTGCTATGTAGAATAATTTTACACATAACATGCAATGGAAACCTTTTCTCCACTTTTCAAAAATAATCAAGCATTTAATAATGTGAGATATCCCCTTTATATACTCTTGAAGTATATAATTATAGGTGCTACATAGCTTTTCCAATGGACTCAGATTCAGCATGTACCTACAAATGTTAGATTACATAATGAGTTAAAAAATTAAAGTAAAAAAGGTATTAGAGCAGTCAGTAATTTTCCTGCAGCCTTCTCTTTTAAAGACTTTAGAAATTAAGAAATCTTTTCAAAATGTCAAGAAGCACTTCTAGAGTAATAAAATAAAGCAGTGGGTTTGGTACTCCTTACCCCTCCACACACACACACACACACAAACAAAAAGAAAGAGAAAAAGAAGCAAGGCATTGCTTCCCCAGGATGACAGTCTGTACATCACCCTTTTGCTATAACTAGGATGTGCTACCATGGTGGGCATGGCCCCAGGAAAGCTGGATAGGCCAAACCTAATACTATTCCCTCATGTCCACCTCATCCCCACTTTGCACATTTCAGATACCTGTGAGTAGGGATATGCATGATGGAAGGTTACAACCTGGTCAGAAATATGTTTGATATGATTTCCCTATCCATCTAGCTCATTTCCACTTAATTCCACTGAGTTAAGTTCTAGAGATATTTGGGAAGTCCAAGAGTGCAAAGTACTCTGCTCACCATTCTCTGATTGTCAGAGTAGGTCAAGAAGAGTGAGGACCAAGGTAGACTCCACGGGCACCATGTAATGAAAACTGGAATGGGTATGGATGGGTAAGGGACGCTGCCAAAGGTGCAAGACCACTAAAGAGGGTCATGAAGAACATGCTCCCAGGTAATAATGGCTGATTAAGGATCCTGCAACAATGCTGCGGCCCTTACCTGAAATTACTACAAAAGAAATGTTCTGTTATAAATAAAGTTATACAAGAAATTCTTGTAACCAAATTAAACTGTGGGGATGGCAGTAGTCAAATACCTGAAAGAAATAAGTACTTTCATACTCTGGCCATTAAACTGATGGCGGTGTAAAGATATCACTGTACTTAGAAAGCCTTAATGACGGGTCTACAAAATGGTGGTACAAAATTTGCCAAGAATTAAAAATGTTGCCATCAAGTAGGTTTTAGAAGCAGAACTCCTTTTTCAGGAACGAACCTGGAGTTTCTATGACCAAGGGTAGCTAGCTCCTATGCTGATATGAGCCTGTTTTGTTAGGTCTTCAACTACAGATAATGTGAAGTTTGGCCCTGGCAGAGAAGTCAGTAAGATTTTTTTTCCCTTTATTTTGCTATTCCATTTTTAAGGTATTACTCCTT